AGATGGACTGGGAAGTCATGGCGGCGTTGGGGGTGCCGAGTGCGTCGGTTTCTTCCACAGGGCCAGTCTCTAATTTGTGATATCAGTTTTCGGTTCAGTTGAGGCTATCACAACCACGTCCGCCAACCCTTGTTTCATTATTCTTTGACTTTTTTTTTTTTTTTTTTTTTTTTAGGTTTTCTCTTCCTCCTCGGCTCAAGGATATTGAGCAAGGGGGGAGGAAATGAAGGCGGGCCATAAGGCTGAGGGAATTTGACAGCTCGGCACACACGTGCCATCTAGAGCACCGAGCGACTATAGGAAATCGCGCGTCTCAATGGCTTTCCAGAACGAACCGCTTAGCTACGGCGTCCATGGATGATGTGGGTTCGTCTCTTTGCTTTTTTTTTTTTTTTTTTGGTTTTTTTTTTTTTTTTTTTTTTCAGGATTTCTCTTCCTCCTCGGCTCAAGGATATTGAGCAAGGGGGGAGGAAATGAAGGCGGGCCATAAGGCTGAGGGAATTTGACAGCTCGGCACACACGTGCCATCTAGAGCACCGAGCGACTATAGGAAATCGCGCGTCTCAATGGCTTTCCAGAACGAACCGCTTAGCTACGGCGTCCATGGATGATGTGGGTTCGTCGAGAACAAGGACGCAGGGTGTGCCCACGAGAGGCGCGGCCAGGCTGGGTTTTCGCTTGTTTACCCCCTGATAATTTCGAGGCGAGCGTTGAGGCATGCGGCGTGGGGTTGAGGCTGTCCATGAGATGGTTGACATCGGCCCTCGACGTCTGTGATGCCCTTGGACCGTGCGAAGAAGGCGAAGTGCTTACAGTGCTTATGAAGCCGAGCGCATCATGTTGCTGCGGATGATAACATCGCGTGTTAGATGACGGCTCGGTTATTCTTGGATATTGTTGCGTGGGACGCCGGGTCTAGGCCCTGATGTTGGTTGTCTTGTTTCTGTGGAAAAGGGCTGAATCCCATCAATCCGGACAATGGTTAACGAGATGGCCTTGACTTGGGCGACGAGGTACGGAATCTGCGAGTCGAATGAATGGATGCTAACCGTGGCTGTAGGGAACAAACTGCTTGCATCCCACTTGGACCACATTGCCAACAGACAGGTCAATGCTTAGATCAAATGTGATGCCGAGCGTGGTGCTGTCCATTTGGCCGAATACAGTTGTCAAAAAGGTCATTATGCTGGCCCAACTTACACCAAACCCGATGGCCGTCATTAACCCAGCAGACTTGACGGCAAAAATGATATAAAATTGAGAGTCGGCTATCCATAGATGGTCACGATGACAGCCATTCGCATATTGGAGCAATCAGACTCTACTGTCACAGAGAAACATGACGGCAGCATAACAGTCACTAACGCCACAGGGATTGACGAGACACCGGGTCGGGATCTGGCTTCCATCTTTTGAGGCGGCTGATCAGGTTCTGGTTAATTTAATGTTTTTGGTGAATGAGTTCACAAAGCCATCTACGTCTAGCCCGAGACAAGTTTTTCTAGGCAATGACAATGTCGAGCTGGGCGTTTCGGCCATGCAAGCAACTTTGATATCAGTAGGGGACGATGATCAAATGCCACACATATCACGTTCCAGGCAATACAGGAAAATAGCCGCAGCAGCAGCAGCCGCCGTTAAGGGACTTTAATCGGGGGGTTCATATGGGGAGATTCGTTTAATGATATAAGTAATGCATCTAGAGTGGGAGACAATAAGAATTTAATCAGGTACCTGGCTATCACGCTTTGTATTAAATTTACTATGATATACTACAGTAAACTATAGTATATTGGTGTATACTTCTTGGTGGGCAAATATATTCTGCTACAGATTATAGCCACGCTCTCCCTTAAAGTAGGATGATCGCGATCGCGACCCTGTGCTACGGTACGAGCAACTCACCCAATACACTTCCACCATCTCAACCGGCTCCCAAAAACACCGAGCGACTCGAAGCATTCCCCAAAGCTTTACTAAGATTCCTCTCCCAGGTGCCCGCCCAATTACGTGGCAAGGTAACAACAGTACAGACCCTTCCCTTTCTCTGGCTGTTTATCCTCAGAAGTGACATTTCCCACCAATCCATGTTGACATTACTCACCCGTATCGTATATGCCCATTTCAACTTTGTCACGAAGTAGTCGTAATGGATATTAAAGAGCGGACTTGTCCTTGGTATTTACTCTACCCAGCCATGGAATTTGAGGGATTTTTGCAGATATCTCATGAGAGTCAATTTAAAGGTACGAAAAAGACCTCTATAATAAGAATTTCTCGTTATTATTGCCAGTCACCTTAGGGCTCAGACGTTCTTATCCAGTTGGGCTCGAGTCATTCAATGAGGGATTTGAATCGTTTCATAGGCCCTTTTGTCTTGAGGCTTTTGAGTTTGTCGCGATATCAGTGAGAATATTCGAATATACCCGTTGACAAGATTACATTATTGGCCGTACATGTTCATGTAACTAACCGGAGGTTTGGACGTGTAGAAGCACTTGAGGCTTCCCTGTTTCGACATGACTTCGGGCCTTTCTGGTGCTATAGCAGCGTAAGGGGGACTCAGCCTGGTTTTTTGTACTCCATATTACTACCGGAGTTGACAATCAAGTGGGAACATCTGGATTATGCTGTCCATGATATTACGACCAGAGTGTAGTGACTCATTAAATGTATCGTCTTACTTCACAATTCTCTAAACCACCATCATTCTCGTGGCCCCGCGCGCGGAATATTGCAACACCCTAATCAAAGTCGTGCCATCGCCATATGAATAATATAATCGTCTACTATAAGCCCTTGCCGAGTCACTGTCTCGGCCTCTCCTGATGTCAACAATAAATGTCCGCAAATCCACCGCGGTCCTAGTCCAGCCGCTTTCGATTGAGGTAGGATTTAGAATTTATGTATTGCTGTTCCATTACGTTGCCCGCAGTGTCCAAAGCAGTATTATCATGTGTAATCTGTTCTCCTCCTCTTCCTTCTCCTCCAGATGTTAACGGCATCAGAGATGCGAAACGGGGATCACATCGTTGAACTATCCATTGGTAGACAGCGTAGTTGCCTCGCATTTGTTGGGGCACTTTCCTCAGACTTCATCAGCACATGCATACACGTATGGCTGCATGGCGAAACAAGGATAAATCGCCGACGCCGGATACATGGCCGCGGCGTGGCGGCTTTCACGCCTGTTGGACGCCCTCCTCTCAGTCAAAGGGGATCCGCCGCAAAGTGTCACCCTTTGCCCTCTTCTTCATCTCCTGTGCAGCTGCGATGCTGCTGGGTACCTTGATACCACAGCAATCACCCCAGCCAGTGCCATCGTGGGCGTGATCCGAGTGGTCGGCTAAATCAGAGGTGACATGGCCAGCGTTCTCATCGTCGTCACTATCGGCTGCATCGTCTTCGCTCATCCCTTCTACTGCCGGCACCAGCGATCCAAACAAGAAGTGCTGCATCACAGGCAGCTTGCCCAGCACCTCGGCCACGAACATCCGACGCATTCCTCCGTCAATCTTGGACCACGACTTGGCTGATGAGATGTCGTCAAGCATGGGGCTGTGCCACCGCAACCCCTTGACCGTCTTCGTATCGTTGACAAAGGCAACTTGGCTGAGGTACAGATAATCTTTGCCGAATTCCTCAATCGTCAGTTGTTGGTGGATGGACCGTGGTGTGATGTACGGGTGGTGTAGTAGCTGAGATGCACCAAAGACAAAGGGCAGAAACTGATAATCGTCCAGCCCCCACACACCGTGGGAGCCTGCAGGCTCGAGATAGTATGTCATTTGAACGGTACGCATCAGGGACAGGTACTTGGGAAACACCGTTAGAATCACGGCCTTGAAATCGTGCTTCTGTAGGAGGCCCAGCTGATATAAGCAGAGCAGCCACATCATAAAGTTGAGCTCATGACCAGATCCATAGTCAATACGATTGCGATTTCCAAACGATTGGTCAAGATAGGTTGACACTTCTGCAATAGCCTCTTCCTTGTCGATGCCCAAGCTCTTGTGCCACTTGGGACAGTTCTCAGACACGAGGTCTAGGAATCCCCGAAAAGCCTTGTTTCCAAATCGAGAACCGCCTTGTTCGTTGGGTGGGCATTTGATAACGAGCTCCCCTGCTTCGCCCAGGATGTTTAAAATGGCTTTGACCGTGTCGCCAAGGTCGTCGCCCTTGACGGCTGAGCACGGCGTGTCAGCCACGCTCTCGGCGAGTCCAAATATCCATGCTTGAATTAGGCTCTGCGTAGGCGACGCGAGAAATTTTTCATGGTCCTTCTTGGACAAAATTCTCCTCTTGGGGACAACAAAGGTCCAGTCGGAGGTATTAGGCGGCGAAGGAAGGGCGGGAGTCTCGGGAACGGGAGTTGGGTTGCCTATTTCTGGTCGTCGTCGGCGGGGCTCGAGCTTTGGGATCCTATCCTTGAGGTTTGGAATGGCAGACGCGGCATTGCGCAACGATTCCGGTGATGGTGAGGGCTGTGGTGAGGCCATGGTCGCAGCTATTACTGGCATATAGGTCTGGAGTTGCTGATGGCAAGTGAGAGCTTCGGCAGCAAGACGTTTTGAAGCTTGGATATCAAGGTGGCAAGGAACTTGGACTTGATGCAGCAACGGCCCCGCCACAAACTGCCATTGGCTGGTTGGCGCCGCTTCTACGAGTGAATTCAGTTCGAAAGCCATGTCATCCGAATACACCACTCTATTACAATAAAAATTAACCATAAGGCACTTGATATCCTACTGATAGCTTATCTCAACGGAAATAGCTTCAAACGAGAACAACAAGCGGCTACGGGCAAGGCATGGGACCTTAAAAGTTGACAGCGTTGTGGGAGCCTCAGGCGAGTTCACAGTGACAGTCTCCACCAGACATGGCTGCATGTGGGCTGCTAAGCTAGGCTCGTCATGATGACCGTCACAAAAATCCATTCCAGCTTGCGTACTCAGTATACCCCGTTGCATTTCAACCTCAAACGTTCTCGCCTCCTCGAAATGACCGCATCGTCTGAACCCCTCGCTCAACTGTCAAACCTACCCAATGCCGACGGTTCTGCTACCTTCTCATATTGTGGGTATGTCGTCACCGCCGCCGTCAATGGCCCCATTGAGGCACCTCGCCGTGACGAAAACCCTTTTGAGGCGTTGATAGATGTGGTTGTCAGACCAGCCGCAGGAGTTGGAGGTAAGGATCGACCCTTTCATCTCAACCTCCAGAGTCTAATCATTTGGCCAGGTACTGCTGAGAGGCAGCTCGAGTCGATCCTGCAAGCCGCGCTTCGACAGCTCATCCCAATTCGAAACTTTCCCAGGTGCATGATCCAGGTGACGCTTCAGATCATGGAGGCGCCTGAAAATGCATATCAAAACACGAAGCTACTTCAGGCTCAATCGGTGAGACAACCCTGTATAGCCTTTTACTGACCTTGTTCCATAATCCTTAATGTTTCTAACCATGACGTTCATCAGAATCTTGCCATCATCCCCGCCCTGTTCCATGCTGCTATCCTTGGGCTGTTGACTGCTGCCGTCCCTCTCAAGACGATTGCAACAGCAACAACGCTTGCTATTCCGGCCGGCTCTGGCGCTCTCATTATTGACCCGAGCCCTGAAGAGTCGGCTCAGGCCAGGTCTCTCCACGCATTAGCATTTACATCCCACGACGAGCTGTTACTTGCCGAGAGTTCAGGGTCATTCTCGATTGAGGATTGGGACAGGGTTCTGGAAACGGGTCAGCGTGTGTGCTGCCGAGATCAGGAATCAGGGCTCGACGCAGCCATGTCAGGAGATGGACTGGAGTCCCAAAGCATCAGGGCATTCATCCGATCAGTCATGGAAACCAAGACCGCGACAGATCTCAACTGGAAGCAAGGCCTGGACCAATGAGTTCTCCGAGAATACCCAGGATGCAATAGCACCATCCCCAGAGGATTGCCGCATAATTTATCCCAAGATATTGCTAGGTTGGCCCTCCAATGGCACGGGGAAAAAAAACCAGACAACATCACATAATGCGAGGCTTCATCTAGCTTCCGAACAACATGCCTCCAGCGCCGAAATGGACCCCTCTTCCTGTCAATATCTCTCCCTAGAGTAAGCAAGCCGCAGGCTTAGGGGTGTTGAAAGCGGAGACGCCCGTACGTTTCAGCATCATATCACAGTCTACTAGGGGCTTGTCCGTAACTATTCTCCGACATCCTTGGACGACTTGTTCTGGCCGTGAGCGCAAACACGCTACAGTTTCTCCTGGGTGTGTACGGAGTACTCCGTATTCGTTCCGAATTCCGTGCACTCGTCATGTAATGATTCTCAGGAGAGATCTGCCAGCCAAAAAAAAAAAAAAAAAACACCTTCGACTTGAGCCAATATTAACAGAATGTCGGGGGGACATGTAGCTTAGAGCCGAACCATCTGGGCGAATACCATTATGAAAACACAAAACCAAACCAAAGTACTAGCGTCGCAGTCGAACGGCCGTAACGAGGCTGTGTCGTGCCATTTTGACACCCTTCTGACCGTATAACGATGCCAGTTTTGTATGCGCTTGAAGAGGATTTGTAGAACCGTCCATGTCACCTTGTTGTACAAACTGAGACGCCCAAGAGTGTCGGCCCAACCGTCGGTCGTCTCACGAAACCCCTAGCCCATAAACGGTTATACTCCGTATGGAGTAGTTATTGTGTTCAAGATCCACCTCATCTGGTGGCGATTCAGGTTGCGTCTCAGCACCAGCCCCATCAGCTTCAGTACCGGATAGCTTGGCCACGCGCATGGCACCTTTGCAACATTGGCTTGCTGGCACCCCCGAAAATGGCTGTTCATGTTGACACCGCGGCACAATATAGAATGCCTGTGCTTTCACTTGCACTTGGCTGGCTATAATGTGTCCCGGGGGAGTGAGGTCGTGAGCCGTAACGTCTCAGGTACTTGCGAAGCCTTCCATGTTATACAACCCATGGCGACCAAAAGATGAGATTTGCAGGAGTCCATCAACTTGGTGCACGACTGCAGCCAAAGTGTCAATTGTGTCAATTCGTTGACGGCTTGAAAACGCCACTGCAGTGGCTGATGCAGCGGCCCGCAAGTAGCCCTTGTCAACGATCTATCTCAATACATACGTATCAGCATGCCCAGGGCCAACTATTTAATACTAGCTCATCAAGCTTAACCTTCTACTGTTTTCTCAGATGGGGAGCTGCTCTGTGTCTGCCGTTTCGATTGCTCAATGTCCATTGTTTTGTTTTCCTTGTCGTTTGTGTGTTTAAGCAGCCAGGTGTGGAAGAGCTCTGGTAGTTCTTACGACTCGGTGCTTCGGCATTGTCGACCCATCCGCTCCTGCCTTGGTTGCTCGCCATTTGTGTCTCTTTTTCTTTTTTTCTTTATTTATTCCTTTATTTATTTCATTCATTTCTTTCTTTCGTTTCAGCTCTTCCTACTATATAATTTATGTTCTTTGAAATCTATTCTTCCCTTCTTCGGAGCGATAGCGTCTGCGACTTTGTGTCATCGTTTGTTTTCTCCCCTTCACTGGCCAGACTGTTATTTTATTTTCGGTCTCATCACATTCTAGCAATATTCGGAAGTTTTTGGGTCCACCATTCGCCTGTCAGTGACGAGTTCGCAATTTGGCGCCTCTACCAACATTGGCACCAAAGACGCAGGCAAAGACAGCCAAAGTCCTGGAGCTGGGATGTTGCGTTCTCACCCACTCTGGAACTGATTTGCTCATCGACGCCTCGGCGCAACCGTCTCTGCGGCCAGGAATACTCATCACAGCCGACACCACCAATCACAACCGTATCCAAGCCTTCGGCTCTTGCTTGCAGGATTTGCCCGCAGTGTTGGTCGTCACCCATCACCCATACCGACACGTGTTGATCTGCAGCTGGTCTGCGTATTAGCTACGGCCTAGCTTGTCATCGTGTTGGCCGTTTGGACCAGGTGGTGTGCATCGCCCAAGAGTAAGTTCGTTGATTGTATACACGTAACAAACACAGACACGAACCCCGATGCGGGCGGACTTTGCAATCCTCTCGGTGGGCAAACGCACGGAGCTAAGACGCCGTTGTGTCCGCGACATCCGACAAACAGACAGACACTGAACGCATGTCCCTTTTGATGCTGACTTGTTCTTAGAGTTCCCTCCGACAAAGGGCTACGTCCGTAGAGCTTCGGAAGAGGCGCAAAGAGACGCTCAACGAACCGAGACGCCATTTGGCCGTCTCCCACGTGCAGCCTGTCGTCAGCTTGTCAGCCCGCGCTGAAAATTCCTCTTCGGTGCTTAGCCTGGCTCGGCCATTGGTGTCGGAGTTTGGTGATTTCCCCCACCCCTCCTTTGTGCGACGCATAATCCGGCGCATTTATCAACCTTGGATGACAGCCGCTTTCTTATCCCATCGCTATGACCTCCGAAAGGGTCTTGTCACCTACAGCACTCCACCCTGCAATCGGTGCTCACCAAGATGGCGAATCCCAAGTTTCAGTGAATAAAAGTGCCTTTGCCTCCCTCGATCGCCCCAAGACATCCAGTGCTGCACATGGTCTCTTCTTGAACACAGCCAAAGCTACTCGTTCTGCAGATGATCCGTGTACTCCATCTACCGCTGTTCCGGCCTTAGGTGGTGGATCCTCAAATTCACTCACATCTGACGCTGCTGATACTTGGCCTTGGGCGGCATCAACTCGCGCAGGCTATCTTGGTCATCATCGGAACGCCCCCTCTCACGACTCCATCCCCCGCCAAACCATTGTCAAGGCTCTGGCCTCTGTTGCGCGAAATAACAAGCCCGAAGCACTCTCGCTGGACAACATGCTGGCAACACAGAATACTGAGACCCCTGGCTCTGCAGCCTCGTCTCAGAGGCTTGCCGATGCCCTCCAGGATTTGGCGAGGAAACAATCTACACCCATATCAGCGTTGACTGCCATGAAGTCTCCATGTTTTTATCATCAAAGATTCGACGATGCGGTTGACATTGAAAAGGTTTTGGAAGAAATCAAGAATGACGAGTGGATGTCACACTCCCGCCTTGTTCAAACGGCGACTGGCGTGCGTGAAGTGTCCAAACAGCTGCAGCGGCGCCCTATCAAACGCGCTGTGCGTAATGTCATGGTTGTCACCAAGGCTCGAGACCACCAACTCGTTTATCTGACCCGTGAGCTTACAACATGGCTACTGCGCACACCGCGATACGGGTCTGATTTGGGAGTCAATGTCTATGTTGACGCAAAATTGCGCAGTTCTAGGAGGTTTGACGCGCCCGGCATCTTGGCAGAGAACCCGCGGTTCGAACACATGCTCAAGTACTGGACGCCAGATTTGTGTTGGAGTCAACCCGAAAAGTTTGATCTGGTCCTCACTTTAGGGGGAGATGGGACTGTTCTTTTCACATCATGGCTCTTTCAGCGAATTGTCCCTCCGGTGCTGTCGTTTAGTCTCGGCAGCTTGGGGTTCATGACGACGTTTGAGTTTGAAAAGTATAAGTCACACTTGAGCCGAGTTATGGGCGATGAGGGCATGAAGATCAATTTGCGCATGCGATTTACATGCACCGTTTGGAGACACGACGCCGAGGGCGCGCAGGTGGGCGAGGGGGAGCAGTTCGAGGTCCTCAATGAGCTTGTTATTGATCGGGGGCCGTCACCCTACGTCTCCAATTTGGAGCTCTATGGCGATGACGAGCTGCTTACTGTCGTGCAAGCCGATGGCTGTATCTTTTCAACCCCAACGGGATCGACGGCCTACTCTTTATCGGCCGGGGGATCTCTTGTCCACCCCGACATACCAGCCATTTTACTGACACCTATTTGCCCACATACCTTGTCCTTCCGCCCCATGGTACTATCCGACACCATGGCTTTGAGGGTTGCTGTGCCTCGAAACTCTCGGGCCACAGCATATTGTGCCTTTGATGGCAAGGGCCGTATCGAACTGAGACAAGGCGACCATGTCACCATTACTGCGTCACAGTACCCATTCCCCACTGTCACCCGCACCGATACAGAGTGGTTTGACAGCGTAAGCCGAACGCTGCGCTGGAATGTCCGGGCTGCGTCGCAGAAGCCCTTTGACGCCAATGCTGCTGCATCCGATGGCATCGTTTCCCAGGGCGAAGATGACAGTGCCTGCTGGGATATAGACACCGACAGCGCATACTTTCCCAGTGAAGAGGGAAGTGCCCGTGCTAGTCCTATTAGGCGGCAGATGAGCATGTTGGGATTATAAAACAAAATTACTTATGTACATGACGACAGATTTTAAAATGTCTTCTCGACAAAGAGAGTACTACTATATTGTAGATTTATACACGACCTTGGGGGCATTCAGGGCGTCAAGATGAACAAGAGTCGGAAGGCATTGGAAGGATATTTGCTTAGATATAGACACCTCATGCTTTTGAGAGCAAGCGTTCGTTATTCCAAGGCACAGCGAGAATTACCAGTACATTCTCTGTCTCTCTTTGCACATGTCGACCAGGATAGTAATGAGATGTGAAACAGATCGACGCTGTGCTACCTACCGCGGAGTAGGCCGTGTGGCATGGTACCATCAGACATGGCGTCGTTAGAAATCCACGCATCTTGATTACGTCAAACATTCAAATAAAAGGAAATTTTGCGGCACAAGTAAATGTTATTATTGTCATTTCCCAGCCTCAATGCCATTTTACCATCGTACGCCGATAACATGAGTCTAGCCCGCCACCCACGCGTTAGCTCCTAGGCCGTACATCAAAGCACAACGTAACCCAACATGTCCAGACAGAAAAATCCACCAGGCGGAAAACAAAAAGCCCCAGCCCAAAAAATCCAGTTCATCATGGAAAAAATAAACAAAAACTCCTCTCCCAGTAAGGCATGATATTTTTCTTAAAAAAAAAAAGGGA